CCCCAAAACCCCAAAACCCCAAAACCCCTTCAAGCTTTATTTACCAAAATGACGTAAACATACTTAAATTAATAGATGATAATCGAGTCATATATATATAAAGATATTGAAATATTATAATTAATAATTCTAAGTATTTTTAGATGAGCAATTGGACCCATTTTAAAGTACTTCTCAAGAAGAACTTTATTACACTGAAGAGAAACTATTGCTTCGCAATATTCTTCGTACTTCTTCCTCTTGTCACCATGGGCATATTCACAATAATTAAGTCCCTTCTGTCAGATGGCAAGACTGATGAGAAGCACAATTTTGACAGTAACCTCATTAACTAAATCATTATCATCATTATAGAGATCTACTTTACTAGTACTGAACTTTATGGCAAAGGTTCTAATCCATAGTTTTAAGATATCTCTGACATTGGCATATCTGATTACTCTTCTACATTAAATTGCCTGAAACCACAATATTCCTTGAGGGATTTTACCATTGTTGCAGATGCTGACACATTGAAATATTTCTAAGGAATGATCGATTTTCTCAGTAAGTCTATAAAGCCAATATCTTAAACTTTAACTTTAGGACAAAACGGCATGAATTACAATGAAGTCTCTGACATTGAGGATGTGAGAGAACTCATCAGAACTAGCAACAAAGATACTTACTGTTTTGCTCTTAAAGTAGCAAATTTTAAGCTAGACAAGAACGAGTATGAATTCGAAGTCAGCTATCTAAGATAGAATATCCCTGATACTTTAAGGACTCCATATGATCCTCAAATAAGAAGTCCAGGTTATCAAAACTATGACAAGTATAAAGACACAGGCATCTAAGGTATTTATCAGCTGATATATCAAACAATTATGACTGCTAAAGGCAAGACTGGTGTTTAAGTTGATGTTGCTTATACTCCTATGAAAACCCCATCATTCAACTCACTGGATCCAAATGTTTCAGATCAGCTTTCCTAAAACTTCCCATTTTTCTTCATGTTCACTTTTCTGATACCTCTTTATTACATCGTCTCCAAGTTGTCTGAGGAAAAAGAATCAAAAGCAAGAGAAGGTATGAAGATGATGGGTCTTAAGGATTTCAGTTACTTTACTAGTTGGTTCGTTTTCTTCATGATCATTGTTATCTTTATGGCTATAATTATTACTGCTATGCTAAGTATTAGTGTGTTTATCTAGAGTAACAAGTTCTTGATATTCATATTGGCATTCTTCTATGGTATGTCTTTATTCGGATTCTCAGTTGTTATTGTCGCTATACTACCAACACAAAGAGCTTCAGCTACTGCTGCCTCTCTTTTACACATCATTACTTATTTCTTAGTATTCGCTTTCAAAGACCCAGAAACAGCTCAAGGGATAAAAATCATTACATCTATCTTCCCCAACATTGGTATGACTTTCTGTATCTACTCCTTGTATCATTTCGAGACTGATTCAACAGGTCTAGGTTTCAACAATGCCGGAATTATGTACAACAACTATACTTTCAACGCAACCCTCCTAATGCTTGTATTTGACACCATTTTCTATCTGTTGGTTGGACTTTACTTAGATTCAGTTATCCCAAGTCAATATGGTGTTGCCAGAAAATGGAATTTCCTTTGTACAAGAAAATTCTGGTGCAAATCAAGAAGAAATACTCAAGAGAGCACTAGAGAAGAGAACAGTGCATCCCTACTCAATGACTCAGTTGATGCTGAGGATGGAAGAGATCATTTAGACTTTGAAGCCATCCCAGAAATCCTCAAAAGATAAGAATAATCAAATGACTGTCTGAAGATACGAGGCCTTAGAAAAGTATTTGGTGACAAGGTAGCTGTAGACAACACTAATATCACAATGTACAATGGATAAATCTTCGCGCTCTTAGGTCATAATGGTGCTGGAAAGACTACTACTATTTCTATGCTTACTGGTCTCTTTGAAGCAAATAAAGGTAAAGCATCAGTATTTGGCATTGATATTTTCAATTAAATGGATGATATGAGAAAAATCCTTGGAGTCTGCCCTTAACATGATGTGCTTTTTGAATATCTTACCCCAAGAGAGCATTTGGAACTATTTGCTTCTTTCAAGGGCAGTCTCCCTAGTGAAGTCCCAGCATAAGTTGATAAAATGATTAAGGATATTGATCTTGTAACAGCCTAGAACTAACTTGCTAAGACTCTATCTGGTGGTTAAAAGAGAAAACTCTCCGTTGGATGTGCCATGATTGGAAACTCAAAGATTATCATTCTCGATGAACCAACTTCAGGTATGGATACTTCATCAAGAAGAAGACTCTGGGAAATGCTTAAGGACAATAAAAATGGCCGAATTGTGATTCTTACCACTCATTACATGGACGAAGCTGATATTCTCGGTGATAGAATCGGTATCATGGCTGGAGGTAAAGTCAAATGCTGTGGAAGTTCTCTTTTCTTGAAGAACAGATATGGAGTAGGCTGCAACTTGGTTATTGCTAAAAACAATAGAGATCTCGCACCCTAAATCGATGATTTCATATACCAAAGGATAGACGGAGTGAAGAAACTGCAAGAAGTATCAAGTGAAATGACTTTCTAATTGCCTACTGCCTCTTCATCTTAATTCAAAGAATTCTTCAATGAGCTTGACAATAATCTTGAACAGCTAGGAATCAGATCCTATGGTGTTGGAATTACTACCCTTGAAGAAGTGTTCTTGAAAATCGGTCATGATGGAGATGAAGAAGAAGACGAAGAAGAACTAAAGAAATTTACTCTTGGTGAGAACAAGGAGGCATCATAATCATAGAAAAACTAGATTAACACCACAGATGATCTGGATGAATATTCAATTGCTGAAAGACACGAGGAAGGAGCTGTTGCCACTTTCATGACTAATCTTGGAGCTTTACTCAAGAAAAAATGGCTCTTGCAAATTAGAGACCCCAGAACACTAATCATTGAACTAGTCTTCCCTATTATCTTTATCTTCGCTGGACTTGGTCTTGCAACAATTAAATTCTTGAAAGATGGGCACCCTAGACTACTTTCTCCAACTATCTTCCCAAGTCCTAATCCACTTTACTATAACTCACCCATTGGAAATACTTTTGTTTCTGATTATTATAGAATTAACAAAACTGAATGGTCAGATCCTCATAGTGTCACCCAAGACAACCCAGATAAAAGCAACTATCTCGATTTGTTAGCTGACTTTGATGATGAAATTTTTAAAGCAGCAGACGATACTGGCATCGCTAATTACGGCACTTATTTTTACTACAAACTTGGATAGCCAATCAATAATGATTTCAAATATGGAGTTTTTGCCTTCGTAAACTCAACAGCTCAAGATGCTCCAGCTTCTTTCGGAGCTGAGATCCATGAAAATATAATGAAAGACATTCTGGGAGATAAAGACCTAACACTAAAGATGACAATGGTACCCTTCCCTTTGACCTTAAGAGAGACTAGTGTGCTATCAGCTGCTGCTGGAACCTCGTCAAGTATCCTTTTCTCAATTGCCTATATGATGATCTCAAACTCCTTGATCGCAAACATCATCGGAGAGAGGAAGAGAAACGTAAAGAACTAAATGATTATTAGTGGTGTTAGCATACCAGCTTATTGGATGTCTCATTACATCATAGATATTATATTCTAAGCTCCACCGTCTATTTGCGCTATCATTGGAATCAATGCATTCGATCTAGATGTAAGGTATTAGTAACTTAACTTAATTTTAGATGCCTGATGCTTGGATTATCATCTTAATTTTCATATTTGCAAACCCAGTTTTCGTTTACAGTTTCTCTTTCCTTTTTGAGAATGAAGGTGCTGCTTCAATTATCACTAGATTAGTTTATCTGTTACTTGGAGGAATTGTACCTTTGGCTGTTTAATTCTTGGAAATATTCTCGACCACCGTAGAATACGGAAAGGTTTTAAGATGGTTCTTCTATATTTTCCCTATTTTCTCTCTTAACTTTGGTATACAGAACATCGCAAGGTAAATATAGTATTCTAACTTTGTTTAGTCGTAAAGTATTTGCAGTAGTTGAAAATAGAAAAGCTCTAGATCCCCTAGATATAACAGTAGCTGGTCCTTCTGTGATATTCATGTTTGTGGACATCTTTTTCTACTGGATCTTAATCGCATCCTTCGAAAAGCATTTCTGGAGAATGCTTGGCAATTACCTATGTGGTGGTAGACGCAGACAACAAGAAGTTCAAGAAGCTGATGCCTAGGAATTAATGGAAGACGAGGACATTGCTGAGGAAGAGAACAAGGTTGCCAACGCAAGACCAGAGGACAATACAATTAGACTTTACAAGGTTAAGAAGAACTATGGAAAGACAGTAGCAGTAGAGAAGGTCAGCTTTGGCCTTGAATACGGTGAGTGCTTTGCACTTCTTGGAGTATCTGGAGCTGGTAAGACCACAACTTTCAAATGTCTTATTGGAGAGGAAACACCTACTTCTGGTTAAGTCTCAATCAATGGCTTTGATGTCACTACATAATCTGGTTTTGATCAGGCTAGAAGACTCATTGGATATTGCCCATAATTTGATGCTATTTTCGATGGAATGACTGTCAGAGAGCATCTTGAATTTTATGCTAAGGTAAAGGGAGTTATCATTGATCTAAGATAAAGAATTGTTGAAAGACAGCTAGATGAAATGGATCTTAGAGAATACTAAAATATCAGAGCTGAGAAACTTTCTGGAGGTAACAAGAGAAAGCTCTCAGTAGCCATGGCTATGATTGGAAACCCACCTATTGTATTCTTAGATGAGCCTAGCACTGGAGTAGATCCTAAAGCCAAGAGATTTATGTGGAGCATAGTCTCTAAGATTTCTACTATGAGAAAGAAGAGTTCAGTCATTATTACTACTCACTCTATGGAAGAGGCTGAAGCTCTTTGCACCAAGATGGGTATCATGGTAGCAGGTAAATTCAGATGTTTCGGTTCTTCTCAACACATCAAAGCAAAATATGGAACTGTAACTATAAAAAAATTTAATATCTTATTAGGGTTATGAGATTGAAATCAAGATCAGATACATCAAGCAAGAAGAACTTAACCAGATGAAGCATGATTGCGGAATAGAAGACAGTCCAGTTGCCTACAATTAAATTGAGGAAATTCTTAACAAGATTAATGCTGGTGACATGATCTCTGAAATTACAAAAGACGGAGCTGGACAGGACTTCTATTAATAACTCCAAACTGGAAGTGCTACAATCTCTGTAGACGAGCTGATAAGATGGGCTTTCACTGAGTCCAAAGGAGGGGCTGTTATTGAAAAATTTGAGTCAATGTTCAGAACTGTCGAGGTCCTTGAACACTACAACAACAATTACAAGTTCAAGGTAAGCAGAGACAACTTCTCAATTGGATATCTCTTCGGTATGATGGAAGATATCAAGGGAGAATTCCAAATTAGTGAATATTCAGTGTCTCAAACTACTCTTGAGCAAATCTTCAACAACTTCGCTATGGAAGCTGAGAAAGGAGTAAGATATATCTTAATTTAATTTTATCTATAGAATGCCCGCAAAAGAACTACAGTTAAGAGAAAGACTCAAAAGAAGCAGGCACTTGAGTTAGACAGAGGTCAAACTGTCGCTCTTGACAAGACACAAGATTGATCAAGATCAACCTAAACCATATCCTTAATATGATTCTATTTACATTAGTCTGTCAAATTTCTTAACGACTCGACTAATTTCTAAATCAAATCAAATAATTTGAAACAACTTTATCATACTTTTTCTTATTACCTGATTTGAGCTCAGAACTGAATAATGGGGTTTTGGGGTTTTGGGGTTTTGGGG